CATTTTCTCTGGAATCTCTACTGTAGCAGCTTTTATGGGTCTTTTGTGCAATGCAGCCATAAGAACAGAGCTATGATGCGTTGTCTAAAGATGTGAAATGTGCGTGTTGGGAGTTTATGGGTCTGTGTGTAGACTCTCCGTGGCCGTAGCTCGGAGCGTTTTCTGTCACGAATATGCAACATGGACAGTTATGTGTGAAGGAGGGAACATGGGAGAGATGGACGCGCTTCAAATGTGGACAGAAGTGCTGAAAAAGTGAGAGGGCGGGAGGGGGAGGGAGAGAGAGAGAGACAGGGGAGGGAGAGTGATGTACTGAAATATGATGAAAGAAAGACAAAATGCAATGTGTGCAAAACTACAGGTCTATGTGCATTATTAAGAGAGAGTATTACACCTAACCTATTTAAATCACCGTGTTACCTTTTATTCTTTTAAAAATGCTGACAGAAAACAGTGTGTGTTTAAGTTAAATTAGTTTCTGAGTTGGTTGGTTCACTTTTGAAGCATCACAACACAATCTCGCTAATGAAACTACTGCACATCGCATCAGGTTTGTGAAGTTGTAGTGTACTGTTTTGTATTATGCTTTTGTATATTTCTAGAACATGATTGTGCAGGAGTGTTGCAGAGAGCTTCTTGGTTACGTAGGCTTGCGGCTGTCATTACTAACCTGGCTCAGATTGATGTGTAGCACTCCGAATTGAGTTCACACCAATCCTTGCGTCTTTGCATTGGTTTCCTGTTCGATTTAGAATTGATTTGATGATTTTATTGTTTGTTTTTAAAAGCTTTGAATGGACTGGACCCACAGTACGTCTCGGACTTCATCAAGATTTAAACCCCGGCGCATGCTCTGAGGTCCGAGGGCCAGCTCCAGCTCGTGGTGACTAAAGATGAAACTTATAAACCAGAGGGAACAGGGCCTTCTCTGTGGCTGTGAATGCTCTGACTCCCCATGTCCAAACAGAGGGTTTTAAATCTCGTCTTAAGACCCACTTTTACTCTCTAGCTTTTAACGCCGTGTGAGCGTGTGTGAGTTGTATTTATTTATTTATGTAGTTATCTATCTATCTATTATTTTTAGCTTTATGGATTTTAACACTTTTTATGTATTGTTTCTTTTTATGATTTACTTTTATTGTCTTTTATTGTATTAATTTGATTTGTGATATATAAATAAAAGTGGATTCTACACATGTATGGAAGGGCTCTCACTTAAAATACTTCAGTTTTTCATAACATTTGTATGTATAATGTAAAACTTTATGTATGGGAAAAAGAAAAAAAAGTCCGGAGTTATTTAAAGCTGTTTAAAGTCCACTGCCTGATTTTGTCTGATTAGTGATAAAGGAACGCAGAAAAAAACTGATGTGAAATGAAAGATACATATTAAAATGAACTGAATGAGTATTGTCACGGGTGTATGGATTTTAAAAAGGGGCATGGTGACTGAGTGGGTGGCACTCTCATCTCGCAGCATGAAGGTTCAACGTTCGATTCCCCGGCCGATCTGACCCTTCTTTTTGCAGTCAGTTTGCATGATCTCCTTGTGTTTGGGAGGGTTTCCTCTAGGCGCTCCGGTTCCCTAGCCAGGCTGGAGCCACCTATTGCTTCCACTCAGTTTCATTTCTCTCCAGCGACTAGATCAGAAAACAGAATACACGAGACGGTTCGCAAAAACCCCGGATGTGCGAGTTCGGGCACCGGCCAATCAGCGAAGAGCCATACAGTCTTTGTTGGCAACGATTCTCGAGATCGAGGATTTAAAGCTGAAATAAAGAGAATGTGGTGAATCTTATCAAGGGGAAAGATGTTATTGCTCTTCTTCCTACGGGATTTGGGAAAAGCTTAATATACCAGTTAGCCCCATTAGTGGTGCATTACATATGTCACGACCAAATAGCAGGGACTGGTTAAATAAAAAAAAAATATCTGCCTACCATTGAGCGAACAAATTCTAACACTGCGAGGTCAGACGGTTTCTACAAAGTGAAACCGGCTGATGAAAAAGGCTACCGGTTCCCCTCATCAACTGAAAACATGCACTAAAGGTAAAATCCTCCAGCTAAAGTAGTTCTGACCAAGACTAGCTCAAAATCTGGAGATGGATCCCACAGCTTCTTAACCCATGACAAAACCTAACTTTAATCTTGACCCAGTGAACTATTTACAGGTTTTCAGGAATAACGATGCAAAGTGACACTGAAATACTGAACAAATCCACAAAGTAAAACGGCCAATCTAAAACCTCTCCTTCATTCTGTCGACATGCTTAAACGTTTCCTTTAATTTACCACATAACTTACCTCTGCTAACAACTCAGATTGGTTTGATTGCTGCATTATTTAGCCGCAATTACCGCTGTAACTTCAAATTAAAATTCCGTCATTAATCCTAAACATTCATGCATAAAACAACAGCTTCAAATTCACTGTAACGCTTGGACGTATGGGGCACTTACATTTTCATTAGAGCCAGATAATGAGCTAACGGTAGCTAAAGCTAGCCCCATTAGCTGGTAGTGCAGTGTTTTGCAGGGGAGATACGCAGCTGGCTAAATGAAATGTCAATAACAATGCCGTTTAATGCCATAGACAATGCAGCTCTATTCCCAGTCGGTGCGATGTAATTCCTGGTCATTATTACCTCTGAGCAGAGTAAGGGCCATAAGAAACAGTCTCTGGGGGTTTGGGCTAACATCTGGAGGTGATTAACCAGCAGCTGTAAAGGAGATGGTCAAGTCTGTGACAACCAGGCTAAAGAGGAGGAAAGGGACTGACAGGAACACGAGAATAACTACACTTTAATTAGTCTTAATAAGGTCTTAACAAAGGCTTAGATTAGGGCTGGGCAATATGAATCAAAAACTACATCTCGATACATTTTGCTATATCTCGATATATTATATATATCTCGATATCTGTACAAAAATAACCCCCAAAACTGAAAACTGCAAAAACAAATATGCCAAATTAAACAAGGTCTTTTTTTTATTTTTATTGAAGTGTAAGAGGTAGGCAGTTCATATAGGAACATTTAAGATTAAAAAACAAAACAAAAGCATTACGACTATGAGCCACATCAGCCCGTTTGAGATTATAATGTGTTTAATGCAGCTTTGCGCAGACTTGTTTACGTTTTACAGATACGAAACTTAAAAGCGCATGGCTAATTTGCATAAACAGCGCACTCCTCGTGTCGCTAATGTGATTCAGCTTCTTTCAGACTCGGTGGAATATGAGGATGTGCTGCTGAGGTTTTTGTCTGTAAACGGTGGAAAAGTATCGTGGTGCTAGAAGCTTTTCACTGGCAGCAACTTTCGGCGTTCACAGCGGTCGTGAGGAGTGAATGAGATACAAGCGAGGAAAATCAGGGAGGCGGGGGCACGCATAGAGAAGGCAAACAAGCGAAGCGGCGGAATCAAAACTGAATATAAGCATTATATCGATATATACGATATGTCAAAATCCATATCAAGTTTAAAAAATATCGAGATATGTTTAAAATATCATCATATCGCCCACCCCTAGCTTAGATCATAATGTAGAAATAGTTTATTGAGAAGGATTCAGTGGGTCTTTTGTGAAGCATGCTGGGTAATTAAATGTGTAGAGATCAAATGATATGAGTTTTGGAATCCAGAGGAACCAATGCCCGATAAGCTTTGTCGATATTTTTGGGCCGATATGTCGACCAGATTTTGATTGTTTTCCTTCCTTTTTAAATTTACTATAAACTCACCTGCAGCTCTTTTTCGCATCATAAACCTGTAAGAAAGCTGTGATGTCTCACTTTGTGCAGCTCTCTCATCGTATTCAAGTGTTACTATAAAGCTTTGTGTGTATGTTTTATGCAGAAGATCGACCAAAACAAAATATCGGCCTGTGCTGGAGATTTAAGGCTGATAATCATTGTGTTAAAAAGTCTAAATATTGGTCTGTCTCTATAAATGTGCTCCAGAAGTGAATGCTGTGAAAATCTATAGTTAAAATGTTTAAAGTTTAAAAAGGTTAAAGAAGTTACAGGAGCTGTACCTGATCTTCATCTTTTTTAGAAAAACTTGAACTATTTTTAAATAATCTGAAGTAGTCCAAACGTATCTCTTGTAAACACATTCCAAGCTTCCTAATTATTCCTAGTTTATACAAGTCTTTCACACCTCTTAAAGTTGTTGTTATTAATAGTTTTTATGTTTTTTAAAGACTGCATTTGACATATATTTGACATTTTAAACTACCATATTTTCCGCACTATTGGGCACTCTGGATTATAAGGCGCACTGTCATAGAATGGTCTACTTTCGAACTTTTTTCACAAATAAACCGCACCGGACTTTAAAGGAAACACAACAGTTGGATGGGTCAGTGGTTTTGTTTGTTTGTGCGTTCACGGTGACTCTGGGCTTTGTTCAGTTGTGGCGTGTAGGGAGGGTGCTGTCTGGGACCAACGGATTGTCGGCGTGTTCGCAGTGACTCAGTTGTTCAGTTGTGTCTAGAAGTGACACGTTGCACTCACTTTTTCGGTTCATTCCTCCGTTCCTCGTCGGCGTGGAGTGATGAGTGTGTCTGTGGGTGTTTTTCACTGTGCGGTCGCTGTCTGCTCCGTGTGTGTTTGCGTGCGCCGCGGGTGGTGTGGCTTTGTAGTTTACTGAAGTTGTGCTGGGACACCAGAGTGGATTCGTGTATAGGGCGCTCTGGATTGCGCAGTCATTTTTTGATGGGGTTGGAGGCTTATGAGCGTGCCCAATCATGTGGACAACATGGTATTTATTGTTTTTTATGCTGATGATGTTTTGTTTTTGTGTATTTTTTATACCGAAATGACAAATAAATTCTGATTCTAAAGATCAGAGTTTTGCTGTCATGGTAACACTAAAAAATATTAAGATACTAACGGCGTAATTCCTGATTCTTGGAGGGAAAAAAAAGTTTATAATTAGATAGTTAGTCGTTGGACCTGCTTGTGGTTGGTAATGACCGCCCCCTCCCTCTGGTTCTTACCGCGCGGTGCTGCTGGACCTGCTTGTGGTTGGTGATGACTTGGCGGATGCCGTTGACGAAGCCGCTCTGGTCGTTGGGGATGAGGCCCATGAAGATCCTCTTTTTGGACGAGTAGAGCAGCATCAGGACCCTCACCTCGCACGGCGACGTGGTGTGGGGGAAGTGCACGCAGCCCGCCTGACCACAAGAGGGAGACACATTCAAATGAAAACAGATTAAAGGTACACTGTGTAACGTTTCTGGTGGAGGGGTCCGTCAAATACTTTATTGATGTTATTGCTTTGACTGGATCTTCATGGAGACCAAACCAGACCAAGTTACAAGTCAGATCTATGGAGAGGCGACCCCGCTCACAGTCAGAATGCATGTTCTTCTAGGTATTTTTGAGCTATAAATCCAGCTGTAATTGAATAAATGTTTGGTAGAGCTGTTTAATGTCACACTGTGGAACATTCGAATCAGAACAATGACATATCCATAGAAACAAGAAGGTGAAGGACCCACAACAAAAAAGTTACCACCTTTAAAGCATTAAAGTTGGACTATGAAACTTTTCTATTCTTCCTACTTTCAGCAATAATATGGTATAAAACTCTATCTCGCATTTATTCATTTAATTACCTCTCCACAGATCTGATCAATAACTTCCTGCCTTCAGTGGTTTTATATGTCATCCATGCATGTTTGACTCATTTAGTGATCTCTCCGGTTAGCTATATGATCCTGTCCAATGCTCCGCCCACAATCCTAAGTCACCCACGCTCCCACACGGCAATTTTTCACAAAAGCAGGATATAAAACAATAAACTACAACTTCACAAACCTGATATGATGTGCAGCAGTTTCATTAGCATGTACACCAATTGTTATGTGTTGGCGCTCTGAAGGTGGAATGATGTAGCATCGAGAGCAAAGGACTCAGAGTGTCAAAAATGAAAGTCAGACTTATTTAACAGTTGAATACATTGTTTTCGCCTAATTCTGCATTTCCAGACTATAAAGAAGTAACAGCGTGATCTAAATATGTTATGTAAAGTGTGATACCCCCTCTTTAAGTTAGCTAACACACGTGTGACTAGATGCAGATGGCCTATTCCACAGTTAAAACCTAAAGAGAGCCCCAGATGTAATTTGAGCTCAGTGCAGTTCGGGGACATCCTCTGCCCACTCAAACATGGCCGCTCGGAAATTGAATGCAAATGATGTTAAGTTAATTCTGAGCATGGCGCCTTCCCTCGGCCGTAAATCGCAGAGGGACAGGGCTCAGCTGGTGCAGGGGCTGTCAGCCTTTTCTCTCTGGCCTCACCTCATTAACGCGCATATGACAGGTTAGACTACTCATTTCAGTAAAACATAGTCAGCATAATTCACAGATTTTTGTTTGTTTAGTTTTGATTTTTAGTTTTGTAATATCGGTGAAGTTCATAATTTGCCTTCCTGGTTGGCTGGTTCGACATTAGCAACAGATATGATATAACTACAGGTAATTCCTTAAGTGCATATAACAGGTTAGACTACTCATTTTACTAAAACACAGTCAGCATAATTCATATATTTTTGTTTTAAAAAATCTTACCTAGTTTTGTAATATTATGTTTATAATTGTACTTCTTGGTTGGCTGGTTGGACAGTAGCAACATATATGACCATATCTTATTGTGGCCATATCAGTTTGTCAAAGCCTGAGCCTGTCAGATCTCAAAAGCTGAGCAAGGCCAGGGCTGGTTACTGCTTGGATGGGAAACCACTGAGAAAATCAGGTGCCACAGGGGGGTGCCAGTGGTTAAAAAAAAAAAAAAAACGCTGTTCTTTAGGCAAGACACTTCACCTACATTGCCTAGTAAGAAAGTGGAGTGTGTATGAGTGATGGATATAGTCGGAGGGGCTGATGGTGCAGATTGGTAGCCTCACTTCGCTGTGGAGTGAATGAACAATGAACTGTAAAGCACTTTGGGTGTCTTGAAAGGTGCTAAATAAATTCAATGATTAATGAATTCATTCATGTATGTATATATGTATGTACGTACATACGTAGAGGTAATTCCATAACTGTTACCTCGCAACAATAAACTTAAAGTGCATATAAACAGGTCAGACTACTCATTTTACTCAAACATAGCAGAATAAATATTTTATTACCTAGGTGTTGTTTTTGTTGTTTTTGTTGTTGCGGTTGTTTTTTTGTTTGTTTGTTTATTTTGGTAATGTTTATACTTTTACAACAGATATGTTGAGGTATGATGTAATTCCATAACAGTTGCCTAGCAACCATATCGTTATAGTGCATAAGTGCTGGTTAGAATATTAATTTCAATAAAACATAGTCAACACAATTAATGTTAAGATTATTATTATTATTATTATCTTTTTTTGTTTGTTTGTTTGGTGAATTTTTGATTTTTAGTGAAATTTAAACTTTAACTTCCTGGTTGGACATTTGAACAGATATGACACGTGTAGAGGTGAATCTAATAATAATGATAAAGTAAACGAGGGCTAAAACTTCTAAATTACACAATAGCTATTATTAAAGAAAATAAATGATAACAACTTTATTTTGTTATATGAAGGTTTAAACTATCTTTTTTTTTTGGACATAAGTAGAGGGATTCCATTTTAGAACTCAGGGCAATTTCCTGTAACTCTTTTTGTACTTTTCTTGTCAATTTTTGCAAAATTATAATAAATATTCATGACAGGTACTATCCCACCAAACCAAGTCTTTATTAGAAAAAAAAAACATGAAAACCTGTCACATGCACTTTAAAGGTGCACTGTGTAACTTTTCCAGTGGAGCGTTTATTACTGGTTCTCTCCATGGAGATGTTGCCTAGAATGTTCCACCGTATGGCATTACACTTATTTATCTCTATAGAGACAGCAGGTGACACTACATGTCCAAGTTACATGTCGGGTCTGTGGAGAGGCGAGCCCACTCACAGTAAAAATGCAAGTTTTTAAGTCAATAAAAACCCATGTTGTTGAATAAATGCAAGATGGATATATTTAATGCCATACAGGGACATTTCAGACAAAGCGGCAACATCTCCATGTAGACAAGCAGGTGGCAGAAAACTTACAGAGTGGAGCTTTAACAATGCAAACCCATGTATATGACTAGATATAATATATATAATAAATATGCTATAGTCTAGAGGCTCAGAGGAAAGAAAAGCATGGACAAGGACACCCTCTAGAGGTGAGGAGGGGAAATGCATGGCAGGATGGATGCATTATTAGGGAAATTGGGTCAAATTATGTGTTGTAAAATATTTTCAGAAGAACAGACTGTGCAGACGGGCAGAGAGAACGAAACGTAAATACTTACAAATCCGTTGCCCATGATGCGGTACAGGCCTTTGAGGGACTCCATGTCTTTGTGGGTGAAAAGAAACTGCACCATCCTCGAGTTTCTGAATAGAGGACCCAGAGTCGTCTATGGACAGAGAGAAAGGGGGGGAGGGGAAGAGGGGGAGAGACAGGGAGAGAGGGAAGGAAAAGAGAGGGAGATGGGAGGGAGAGACAGAAGAGGGAGGAGAAGAGGCAGGGGGGAGAGAGACGAGAAGGAGAGCAGGAGGTGATAGGGAGAGGAAGAGGAAAAAAGAGAGGGAGAGAGAGAAGTAAGGAGCAGAGGGAGAGAGAGAGGGAAAGAAAGAGGGGAAGAGGGAAGGCGAGAGAAGGAAAAGGGAGAGGGAGGGTGAGACAGAAAGTCAGGAGAGAGGGAGCAGAAGAGAAAGAGAGAGGAAGAGGTGAAGGAGAGGGATAGAGAAGAAAGAGGAGAAGAGAGGGAGAGGGGAAGAGAGGGGGAGAGAGAAGAGAGAGAGAAGGAAAAGGAGAGAAAGGGAGAAAAAGAGGGAGAGAAAAAAGAGAGGGGGCGAAACAGAGGGAGAGGACAACTTGAAAATGCAGTGTGTGTAGTGAATATACTGTAATAAGAATTGAAATGATGATTTATGCATTTTACAGTACAAATTTATCATTTATCTGTGGCTATAGTACAGTGGAATAGCATAGAATGTATAGTAAAGTATACTATAGTACAGTGCAGTGCAGTGCAGTACAGTGAGTGTACAGTAGTGAAGGCAGTTGAAAACATCCTCACCAGTAAAGCCTGTGGGATGAGCTGCATTATGAGCTTCTGTGGCCACTGCTCCGTGTTCCTGAAAGTGAAACAAAAAGGTCAAATAATGTGTGTTTCATTTAAAGGTGCACTGTGTAACTTTTCTGGTGGAGGGCCAGTCAAATTCTAGTCTCCGTAGAGATGTTATTGCTTTGTCTGGAAAGTTTCACACTATGGTATTAAACCTTTCTATCATCACAGAGACCAAACCAGACCAAGTTACACGTCAGATCTTTGGAGAGGTAACTCCACTCACAATCTGAATGCCTGTTTTTTTTGTTTTGTTTTTTTTTTAGATATTTTTGAGCTATAAAACCACCTGTAATTTTACAAATGTAAAGTAGAGCTGTTTAATGTCATACTGTGGAACATTCCAGGCAGAGCAATGACACATCTGTAGAAACAAGCATGGTGATAGACCCCAACCAAAATGTCACACAATGCACTTTTAAATAAATTGAAAACAAATAATATAATAATTACTTAGAACAAATTCTAAGTATGGTACATTTCAAAACCGGAAAGCACTATGCAAATGTACAACTTTTGGTACAGCTAAAATTTAAGCAAGTTAATATAAACATTCAATTTCCAAACTAAATATTGAAAAAGCTGGAGGAGCTGGAGGACGTGTCTGGGGTGAAGGAAGTCTGGGAGTCCCTGCTTAGGCTGCTGCCCCCGTGACCCGGCCCCGGATGAGCGGACGAAAATGGATGGATGGATATTGAAAAATTGTGGAAAAATCATTAAGGTGAGGCAATGATTTAAAGGTACATTGTGTAACTTTTCTGGTGGAGAGTCCGTCACCTGTTTGTTTCTATGGAGATGTCATTGCTCCGCTTAGAATATTTGACAGTATGACAATTTTATTCAACATTTTATAGTTTCAAAGCTCAAATGCCTAGACAAACAGGTATTGTGACTGTGAGTGGAGTCGCCTCTCCACAGATCTGACCTGTAACTTGGTCTACATGAAAATAGAAAGGTTTAATACCATACTGTGAAACATTCCAGACAAAACAATAACATCTCCATGGTGGAAAACATTTGACGGAGCCTACACCAGAAAAGTTACAAAATGCACTTCTAAGTTTTAGATTATGCTGTTTCTTGTTACTATTGGGGCTGCCCTTAAAACAAGACCTGATCAAAATCAAAAACATGCTCATTTTAAATCAGTTTACTCACAGGTTTTCTCCCTGGTTGACGTGGACTTGACACGGGAGAGAACGGGTCAGTTTGGTGTTCTGGTCCATGGTCGTGGCTTTGGGTTTCTGAGGAAGTACAAAAATACAAAATGGAGGTCCAAGGTTACGGCAGATATTCATAAAAATGTAATAAAACGCTATCAGGAGCTTTTCATGTGATTTAAGTTGCCTGGCCATACAAGACTACACTATGTATATAACTTTACAAAGACATATAGACCGGTATACTGTTTCCATGGTAACTGATGAGCATGATTGACAGGCCCATATTACAGCATTTGCCGATTAATGTTACAATGTTGTTTCCTCATCAAAAACATACCTCGAGTTATGTTTTCTTTTCATTCACACATGTTTAACAAACAACCCTGCATATTTAGGCTGAGTTCTTCTATCAAACTGAAAACGCGGCATTCCACCTTGTGATGTCATGTGGTAATACAGGAAGTGCTCCACTCTGTTTTTAAACTCCTCACACCTTCACTAGAATCATTTGTATAATTTCAACCCTGGAATTGCTGATCTCTATTGAACAAAATGTAAAAAGTAGCTGTTAACTTGAAAAGTACCACTTCATGAGCATATCACAGACAAACTAATAATGCAGCGTTACGCAAACATGTGCGAATGAAACAAAAAACAACTTCAGGTATGTTTTTGATGAGCTAACAACATGATAACATGGCTTAAAGCTCTTTGCATAATATAGGACCTTTAAGAATGAAGATGTTAAATTTCTCTTTTTTAAAAATCAGAGGCTTCAAATAACAGATCACATGAATCAAAATAATACTATAACATAAATAAAACGTGCATAAACAATTGTTCTTGACTCAAATCATTAAACTCACACAGATTTCCCAATGTCCTAGTCTCGTCCCTTCTTCTTTCAAACCGTCACAGCTCTGTTCTTCTCTAGTGTCCCTTATAAATGAAACTTCAATGTGAAATCAGCCAGCCCTGATTAAAGCCCTCTAAAAGCAGTACTTCATTTTGAGACCATCCTCCGTCAGTTACAAGGACAACGCGGCCGCTTCCTGTCTGCTTTACAAGATCGCCAAGTTACAACCATGACCTGAGTCCATAGATACGAGGAAAACATGTTCAAATCAAATATAGCTTTTACTCAGAACAAGTGTAGTGCTGATTTATTCTTAGTTACAAAAACACTACAAATGATAGCCAAGTTGTTGATGTTATAACCAAAACTGAATAAAAAAGCAGAATGAGCCTCACATGACTCTCTCATTTGTGTTGCCAGTTTCAATGCTAAAATCCTTAACTTAAAATGCCTCTCTCTGAGCTGAATGGTCACTACCTAAATCCCAGCACATGCATTCAGTCATGAGGTTCTGAGTTTTCACATGAGGCCTGTCCATGTACTGAGAATGAGAAAAATGTGCATGTCCTTTGTCTGCAGGTTCAAGGGTCCATATTACGCTATTTTCTGATATATGTTCTAATGTCGTTTCCTCATCACAAACCTGGAGCTGTGTTTTGTTTCATACACACATGTTTAACACACAAACCCTGCAGATTTAGGTACCATTTACACTAGTATATATTCGATTAGTTTTCGTTGTGGATGCAATGTTCATTCACACTAATCCGATGGAAACCAGCTCCAGACACAGAACGATCTGGTGCTGCCAGCTCCCACAAATTCATCTGAGTATGGATCTGATCCGGGCCGTGTGGACACATGAAAACGCTGATACGCTGACGTAAGAGCTCTAGTTGTCGTCCTTATTGGACCATGTCACTGTGACTTGTGCCTTCCTGATTCTCTGGGGTGATAGTGACATCGGTCAAGTGATGCTATTGCGGAAAACAGGTTAAACAAACCAGAGACAAACAGGAAACAGCGTAGCTAGAACTACTGACACAGAACAGACTCACCATTAGCAGAACACCCCTCTGTCACAGAAAGAAAACATACATTCCACTGAGTCATGTCCTTTAGTCTCACAGAAGCTGAACTGCATCAGGGCACAAGGAGTGAGCTGTTTTTTTGAGTGCTCAGTTTATGCAAATTAGCCATGTGGTTTTAAGTTTTGTTTCTGTAAAACGTAAACAAGTATGTGAAAAGCTGTGTGGATAGGGAAGGCGTGCGGACACAGAAAAGTGTCTGGACGCAGATTGTTTCCAATACGGTGATACAGTGATTCATTTCAGTGTAAACGTAACCTTAGTCTTCTATCAAACAGAAAACACTCTGTTCCACCTTGTTATGTCATGTGCTGATACAGGAAGCACCCCACTGTATTTTTAAACTCTATACACCTTTGCTAGAATCATTTGGATAATTTCAGCCTTGGAATTGCCAGTCTCTACTGAACTAAAGGTAAAAGGAGCTGTTAAGTTGAAAACTGCTGCTTCAGGACATCACAAGGTGGAACAGAGCATTTTGAGCTTTGGAGATGTAGACAGACTAATAATTAGGGCTGAGTATCATTAAGAAGTTGCCAATACAATACATACCTCGATACATAGGCCATAATACAATACGGTTTTGATACAGTGCACTTTCGATTCGATACGATATATTTCAACCTGATTCAATACAGTTCAGTGAAAAACAAAGTCTAAATCATGGCTGTAATACTAAAAATCCACTAAGTCTGTGCAAAGTTAATACGAAAAACACCAATTTTAATCAAAACTGTGAAAATGTCAACACAATTGTAGCTCTTACACATAATTTAGTAAAATACACCAAAAAATATTCTTCGATACAGCAGCCCACGATACCGATACTGTATCATCAAATTAAACAACACGATATATCAATATTTCAATATTTCAATATTTTTGCACACCTCTACTAATAATAAAGGATTACTCAAACGTGTGAATAAAAAAAAACACAACTCCAGGTCTGTTTTTGAGGAGGTAACAACATTATAACATGACTTAAACCTCACAAGAGTAAATTTTGCGTAATATAGCACCTTTAACAGCACAGCCTTTGTATATTGACACTAAATAAAAACCAGAAACACTATAAACATTTCTTCTTTAAACTACAGGCGATAAAGAATGTTCTGATGTCACGTGAACCCGCCTAGTTTGCCGCAGCGACCTCAATCAGGACGAGCGATTAAAACATGGCCGCTCCGATGCGCTTTTAAAGATCTGATTTTCCTCCACAAAATGTCAGAGGAAATTAACAGCTCTTTGTAAAGACATTATCGCTCAGATCCTATTGGCCGCTTCATCTGCTGCGATCAATACCGAGTCTATGTCCAATCCATCACCTCCTGTCCGATGCACATCACACATTAGACGCAATAGGGTTTTCTCCACAGACTGCAGTTTTGAAAGAAAATCAAAGGTCCTGCTTCTACTACTAAACCATTTTATATTGATAATGTTGTTTACAATGAACAAAATGTAAAATAATGGTCTGTGTGTTATAGTTTAATACTAAATGAAAGCTGAAAAAGTATAGTATATCTTCATAAAAGGTGCATCGTGTAACCTTTCTGGTGGAGGGTCTGTCAAATGTTTTTCTTTGTGGAGATGTTCTTGCTTTGTCTGGAATGTTTCACAGTATGGCATTAAACCCGCTCACAGTCAGAGTACCTGTTTTTCTAGGTATTTTTGAGCTATAAAAACAAATGTAATTGAATAAATGTAAGGTAGAGCTGTGTAAAGTCATACTGTGGGACAATCCAGGCAGAGCAATGACATCTCCATGGAAACAATCAGTTACACAGTGCACCTTTAAAGCGGGTGAATAATGCTAAATTGATTTTCGTGAGCCTTCTACCATGTTATAATGTTGTTCCTTGATTAAAAAATGCCTAAAGAGGTTTTAGACGTCATACACACATGTCTGAGTAATTTAGCGATCTCTCCTGGGCCCTATTCAAACCAAAGATTCTGCCTACGTCCCCCAAGCTCCCACACGACAATTCTCCATAAATATACAAAAACATGATACAAAACTGTGCACAGCAGCTTGAGAAACCCGACGTGATGTGCAGTAGTTTCATTAGTGGGATGCGCGCTGATTGTGTTGTGGTAGCGCTCTGAAGGGGGAGTGACTTAGTGTGGAGAGCGTTAAACATACCAGTGAAATGTATGAAACACATTAATATGTCGTTTTCGGCAAATACAGGATTTGGTGGTGCATGGTGATCTAAATATGTTATGTGTTAGCAGTGAATACCCCACAGAAGTAAAACTAGCCCCTCTTTAAAGGTCCTGTATTACGCAAAATTGACCCTTGTGAGCGTTTAGCCTAGGGTGACTAGACGTCCCTGTTTACCCGGGACAGTCCCAGTTTTGAGCCCCGAGACCCCTGTCCCATCAAATTTATCCAAAACCACTGATTTGTCCCAGTTTTATACAAGGAATGTCCCAGATGTTCCTATTTTGGACCAATTTTAACCTTGCCAACAGTAAAGAGAGGCATAAACTGTAATTTGTTTAGGTAAAACACAATAAATCTGCTTAAAAATGAGTAAAACACAAAGAAAATGTGACATACTGGCTCATATGTTAGCATGAATGGTCACTGCATAACAATTTTCTTTACTTATGCACTCGTTTCATAATTTTATTATTACCAACCAGATGTGGGGACTCGCAAGTCGTAACTTGAACTCAAGTCAGACTTGAGTCACTATTTTTAGGATTTGAGACTTGAGACTTGATAAAATGGACAAAGACTTGGGACTCAACTAGGACTTGTAGGTCAGTGACTTGGGACTTGACTCGGACTTGAGCCCTGTGACTTGAGAAGACTTGAGAAGCACTTTTAAATCTGAATTCTTTCTGTTCTGACTGTAATGATTCACACTATGGTCTCATCAAGACATTTAAAAGGAAACATTTGCATTTCAGCAACTCTTATATAAATACTCATATGTAAATATACCTTGGCTTTTTAAGTACAATTTAGATTAAAATTCATATGAATTGCAAAAATCTAAGCTACATTACTTTGGTTTAAAGACTTGAAATGACTTGAAGCTCAAAGTAGATGACCTGGACTTGACTTGGACTTCTGGGCCAGTGAGTCATGACTTTGACTTGCCTGTATTTGACTGAGACTTGACTCGGACTTGAGGTCAAAGACTTGAGACTTACTTGAGACTTGCAAAACAACAACTTGGTCCCACCTCTGTTACAAACCACCAAAAAACAAGGATTTTTTAAATTTTGAAATTCTGATCAATCTATTTTAGACATATTTTAAAGCTGTTACCTCCTCAAAAACATAACTGGAGTTGTGTTTTGTTTCAGTCACACATGTTGGAGTAATCCTGCATTATTAGTCTGTCTATAGCTCCAAAGCTCAAAATGTTCTTTTCCACCTTGTGATGTCACGTATTAGTAGTTTTCAAGTTAACAGCTCCTTTTCACCCTTTGTTCAGTAGAGATTTGAAATTCCAGGGCTGAAATTATCCAAATGATTCCAGTGAAAGTGTATGGAGTTATGGAGTTTAAACAAGCACTATGCAACTTTTTCTGCTTGTTTCTATGGAGACGTCATTGCTTTGCCAGGAATGTTCCCCAGTATGACATTGAACAGCTCTACTTTACATTTATTCAGTCACAGGTGGCTTTATAGCTCAAAAATACCTTAAAAAACCCCCCCAAAAAAACAGGCATTCTGACTGTGAGCGAGGTCGCCTCTCCACAGATCTGACCTGTAACTTGCTCTGGTTTGGTCTCCATGAAGACAGAAAGATAGAAAGTTGAATGCCATACTGTGAAACATTCCAGACAAAGCAATAACATCAGCCAAATGGAGGAAAGTATTTGACAGACCCTCCATAAAGTTACACAACGCACCTTTAAAAATACAGTGAACCACTTCCTGTACTACTATTTTTTTTTTTTTTTTTGACGAGGAAACAATATAATAACACAGATCAGAAAACAGCGTAAAATGGGGCCTTTAAAGATCTACAGCCCTCCTCTGGCCTTCGCGAACTTGGCCGTGTCTCTCCCCTTCCATGTTCCATTAACGGTAGTACTCGGGATAAAATACACCCACAAATGGATTCAGCGGTCGCAAATTATCAGGTCTCTACAATACATTTCATTATTAGTCTTTTGGTACGGGCAGTGATTTGTCCTTATATTACCGATGTACTTTTTGCACCCATCGGCAGGAAAAACTCATTTGAGAAATTAGCTGTTGATAAAAAAAAAAAAAAACCCGGATCTGCGGCCAACTCTGCTCGGACACGCCCTGATTGTATTGTTAACAGCGTCGTGATACATTGCGTTTTGGCATTTTGTGGCCTTTTCTAACTCCTGGTCCAATTTAAAGAATATTAGTTTAATCTGCGATCTGTTTTATTCTCAGATAAACTGTATTGAGCCCCCGGGGAAATTACCACAACAACATAATGACGAGCAAACTGAAGCACAATGGATCGTAATAAAAACTACTAGTACTAGAAGTAAAACATGTAGTGGTAGTAGTAGAAGTAGTAGCAGAGTAGCAGAAGTAATAGTAACAGTAGCAATAATAGTAACAGTAATAGTAACAGTAGTAGTAGCAGCAATAGTAGTAGAAATAGTAGTAGTAATAGAGTAGTAGAAGTAATAGTAAAATAGTAATAATAATAGTACCATAATAGTAACAGTAGTAGTAGTAGCAGTAGTACTAATAGTAGTAGTAGTAGGAGTAGTAGGAGTAGTAGTAGTAGTAGTAGAAGTAGTAGAAGCTGCAGCAGCAGTTGCAGTACTAGTAGTAAAAGCAGTACTAGTAATAGAAGTAGTAGTAACAGTACAAGTAGTTAAAGTAGTAGTAGTAGCAGTAGTAGTAGTAGTAGCAGGAGCAGTAGTAGCAGTAGTATAATAGGAGCAGTAGTAGTAGTAGTAGCAGTCGTAGTAGTAGTAGTAGTAGTAGTAGCAGTAGTACTAGTATAATAGGAGCAGCAGTTACAGCAGCAGTTGCAGTAGTAGCAGTAGTAGCAGTAGTAGCAGTAGCAGTAGTAGTAAGTAGTAGTAGTAGCAGTAGTAGTAAGAGCAGTAGCAGTAGTAGTATTAGCAGTAGTAGTAGTAGTAGTAGTAGTAGTAGTAGTAGTAGTAGTAGTAGTAGTAGTAGTAGTAGAAGCAGTAGCAGAAGCAGTAGTAGTAGAAGTAGTAGTAGTAATAGAGTAAAGTAATAGTAATAGTAGTAGTAATAGTAACAGTAGTAGTAGTAGTAGTAGTAGTAGTAGTAGTAGTAGTAGTAACAGTAGTAGTAGTAGTAGTAGTAAATAGTGTAATATGGGCCCTTTAAGAAAACCCCCCATGTCTTATTCCTCTCTGTCCATCTGTAATAATCCATATTTTTTCCAAACAGAAGCTGCTTGATGATCTGACAGTCGATGTTCAGGATTGATCCAGAGTTCACAGATACACAAACCCAGGATCACAGGAGCCGCGTAAACGTCATTTCAGCTGTTTTCTTAGACCCGTCAGAGCTGTAAACTCAATCAATGTGACCTTGAGTGAAGCCAATGGAGGAGAGGTTATAGTGATGACCAATTATTCACAGTGACTATAATCGATGGTTATTATGACGTAGCACACACATAAATCCACACATGGCTCTATTAGCACAGTATTCACGTGGCCAAAAGGTTTTGTTTGAAACTTTCTCAGTGTTCACACTCATCGCTGGCAGAACAAAATGCGGGATACACACGATCAAGTCAAAAGTTTGGAGACACTAAACTCAAAATAACTTGTTTTAGATTTAAATAAAAAAAAAAAAAATGACCCTTTGCTTTGAACTCTGTTTTGCAATTTTCACATTTCTTGACCCTGACGTGGCACAATGAAGTAAAAACCATTTCAGGACACTTCGTCAGGTAGACAGAACTTATTTATACAACCTATTTTCTTTGCTACATAATTCCATATATCTTGTATGGAAATGTGGACATATTTCATGTCTTCTGAATGTATATTAATTGTAGAAAACATAAAGAAAAAAAAAACACTTTGAATGAGAGGGTGTGTCCAAATCGTTGACTGCCAGCATAAGTTTGAGAGGGCCTTACCTCTTGCCACTCCAGGACTCCGGTCCAGGCCACCACTTTGTTGGGTCCTTGGGGCTGTCCGATTGCGTTGGCATTTCCCTGAGCTCCAGAAACTCCAGACTGTCGACAAAACAAGAGAGGATCAGATCTCCCACTGTGACAGTTATAGAATATATGTAATTTACAATCCAGTCAAAGTCCTTAAAGGTATTGAACCTTCTTTTTTCTGGTTTTTCACACTGATTCTGTAGAGCAACCATCTGTAACTTTATTCAGTTTTTTTTACCAGTAGATGGTAAACGTGAAACCTGTTCCTCTCCCACCTCCCCTCACCCGGCCTTTGTTCAGACTTACCTGTGCTGTTTGTTCTTCTTCTGTCAGGCCAGAGCTGGCACACTATCAAACAGCAATAACGCAGACTAGAATCTAGTAGTGATAAGTGAGAAAGCTACAGCTGCCAGTCGGTCACTCTAATAACAGATGGTAGCTAATTTAACTCAACTAGACATATTTTTAGCAGTGTTTGCATATGCTAGAATGACATACTGTACTTATTAATGACACTGGAAAATGTATCAAACAAATATATGACTTCCTGTCTGTATAGGGAGTGGATTTGGGTTCACGGAACATCACACTGTTGTGACGGCTGCCTTCTGGTGGAGCTCATGGTCCTGTTAGAATGTATTATTTTTAATACCTATATCAAGTCTGTGTTCATATTCTAGTACTGAATGCTCATATATTATACTTCTATGTGTAATCTTAGGGGTGTAATGATATCCAAGTCTCAGGAAACGATATCGTCACAGTATGAACCTCACGGTACAATATTTATTGCGATATGGTGGGGAGGCTCACGATTAAATATGTAACAATATCCAAATCTGTCTGTACGATATTTTCACGATATCCATCTCACAGTACGATATTTATTGCAATATTTCATAGAGGCAAACCAAACTGTAAATATGCTACTTTTTCCTCTTAAAATGCCTTGACAAGACTTAATCCAAAGAACTAAGACTTAAAAGTGTTTAGAACTGTTATTTCTTCATGTACTGTACACTGAAATGGAGCAAAGGATCATGGTCTATGTAGTTCCCGCTGTATTTTTTTTAGCTATTGCTGCACCATAACTCTTAATTTAACAAGGCTTGTATTTCGATATATTGTGATGGTCCACGATATTATTGTGAGAACTTTGACGATCACGATATGTCTGTTATTATTACATCCCTGGTAATCATGTATGAAATCAAAGTTTGAGAAAAGTTTGAAAAGTTCCCCGTGCGTTACCATGTTGGGCTGCCCCGCGGCGGTGGCGGCCTGGTTTGGCGCCTGCTGCTGCTGTTGTGGAGGAGCTTGCTGCTGATTGGCCACAGACTGTCCTTGGGGCGGGATCTGCGGCTGCTGGTTCGGTTGCACCTGGGCCTGTGACATCATGGAGGAGGGGCCCGTGGTTACCGTGGAGATGCTGGGCTGGTTTAGCTTCACGCTCGAGATGGAGGGCTGGTTCCCGAAAGGAGAGCTCTGAACTGTGGCATTAAAAAAAGTCAGTTTAGCTATTGATACTTTGCAGCTGACATCATCGACATTCTCTGAGGGTGTGATGCTAACTGGGGGCACTGCTCTGTCTAAAGCTCAGTTACTTAACTTAGAATTTAATCTGATCTTTATTTTAACACAAACTGGTCATAAAGAACTGACTTAAATTGAACTACAACAGGTGAGCTGATTTGTGCTGTTAAACCACACCGCTGAACATTCCTCCATAAACGTACATGCAGAACCCCCCCCACAGCAGTATGCACAAAATGATCACATTTACTTTAATTTAAAAAGGAAATCAGATCAGTTTTTTAAAGATGCACTATGGAACCTTTCTGTTAGAGGATTCGCTTCCTACTTGTCACTATGTAGATGTTATTGCTTTGTTATTGCCTACAATGTTCCACAGTATGGCTTTAACATGATTTAACTCCAAGTTACAGGTAACCTTGGTCACAGTAAAAAGGCAGGATTTTCAAGGTGTTTTTGAGTATAATTAAATACAAAATACAAAAGTTTAATGCCATATTGTGGAACAATCTAGGCCAAGCGATAAAGTTTCCATGGAGCCAATCAGTGAGCGGATCCTTCACCTGAAAAGTTACATAGTGCGCCTTTAAGTCAGTATAAAAATGTCACTTAAATGAAACTTACAGCGCTTCTGGTTGGTTGCAACTTCCACCACCATCTGTGCGGCCATGTGAGCGTTCTGAAAGCAGGGGTCACACGGTAATTAAAAACTAGGATGGTTGCCATGGAAATAAGACTATGAATTAGAGATCGCATTATTGCTATTGTCAACAACATTCACAAATTAGGAATGTGCTTTGGTGATTAGGAGTAACATAAAATAATGAATAGTATAAGCATAATATTTTTTCTTTTAAAAGGTGAAAAGTCCTCAAAATGGCGTCCGGGTGCGAGTACCTGGTAGGGGTGGTTGGAGCCCATGTGTGAAGGGGCCTGAGGGGCTGTTCCCATGGACTGGACGGGCAGAGGCTGTGGAGGCTGCACAGGTTTGTGGCCTCCTGATCCACCCACAGAGGAAACTGGAAGGAAATAAACAGTTATATATTTTTATTTCTAGGGCTGCAACTAACAATTATTTTATTATTATTATGTTGGATCTTTCTTGTTTTATCATAAAAGGCCCATATTACGCTATTTTCTGATGTTATAATGTCATCACAAACATACATGGAGTTGAGTTTTGTTTCATTCACACATGTTTAACACACACACCTTGCATATCTCAAACAGAAAACAGTCAGTTCCACCTTATGATGTCATGTGGTAATACAGTAAGTGCTCCACTGTGTTTTAAATCCCATATACTTGGAAATTTTCAGCTCTGGAATTGCCATTCTCTACTGAACTCAAGGTAAAAGGAGCTGTTAACTTGAAAACTACTGCTTCGTGACATCACAAGGTTGAACAGAGCATTTTGAGCTTTGGAAATGTAGATGTTTTTAAGAAGGTCATAACATTAAAACAAGATCCTATATTATGTCACTGTTTCATAATATAAGACCTTTAATCACTTTGCAAATGAAAAAACTCACTTGAGGACCTTTGTTTTGGGCCGTGTAAACACACGCCAATAATCAGATCTAATATTGAGTAGTCTGATTTAATCCGTGTCATTCGTTCATTCGTTTTTCAATATAAAACCAAAAATAAGAAAACCAAAAAACAACTTATTACATTATTTGTCTCTAAAACCAAAATGAAAAAAAAAACAGATAAAGATTTGTTTATTCAGTTTTCGATGTTGTGTTTAAATGAATAATGGAAAAAACTGATAACGGCCGTTTCCCGTTTACGTGACTTAAACTGCAATGCCGGACTTTTGCACCACAAAACTGACTGAACCAGCCAGGACTAAACCGGTTTTAGTCCTGGTCTCAGTCCTGTCTGGTCCAAGTGGCAGTCCCGGTCTCAGTCCTGGTCTCAGTTCTGGTCTGGTCCAAGTGGCAGTCCCAGTCTCAGTCCTGGTCTCAGTCCTGGTCTGGTCCAAGTGGCAGTCCCGGTCTCAGTCCTGGTCTCAGTCCTGTCTGGTCCAAGTGGCAGTCCCGGTGTCAGTCCTGGTCTCAGTTCTGGTCTGGTCCCGGTCTCAGTGATGGTCTTGTTCTGGTCTAAGTCCTGGTCTCAGTCCAAGTCACCTGGTTCAGTCCGTCTGCAGCGCCAAAAGTCCAGCATCGCAGTTTTATTCAAGGAAACATTTTGTCCATTATTCATTTAAACACAAAATCGAAAACTGAAAAAACAAAGTGTTATCTGTTTTTTCACTTTGGTTTTGGAGATAAATAATGAAGAAAACTGTTGTTCTTTCGTTTTCTTATTTTTGGTTTTATATTAAAAAACGAATGAACGAATAATCTGATTTCCCTGACCGTGTAACAGTACCCAGAGTAGTTCCTGACCTGGCAGTGAGATGCCTCTGACCAGCACCATGTGGAAGACCTCCTGGCTGTAGTCCTGAAGAGGCTCCACTGCGCCCCCCACTGGAGACGCTCGGTCAAACAGCGCCCTCAGAGCTGGCAGCTTCCTGGGGGCCACCACAGAAAAATGGATCCCTTTCTGCAAACATAATGTGATGGACTGGATGAAGTGTCTTGCCCAGTGACACAACAATATAACATAATGCTGTTTGTTTTGGTCATACTAGCAAAGCAGGTAAACTAACACCATTTTCTGAAAGGTTTATGTGTATTTTTTTCTGGTGGGGTGGAGAGGGGACTTGCTTGTCTCCATGGAGATGTTTCTGCCTTGCCTGGAATGTTCCGCAGTATGACATTAAACATACCTATCTTGCTTTATACAACTACAGATGCTCAAAAAAGCCTCTCCACAGATCTAACCTGTGACTTGACCTGGTGGCTTCACGGGTTTGTTTCCATGGAAATAGATATGTTTAATGTCATAGTGTGAAAAATTACAGACAAAGCAATTACAAGCAGGTCTCCATGGAGAAAAGTTCCATAGTATATCTTTAAAAGTACAAAAAGTGCATTATGTAACTTTTCTGGTGGAGAGTCCATCAAATGCTCTACTCTGTGGAGATGTTCCTGCTTTGTCTGGGATGTTTCACAGTATGGCATTAAACTTTTCTATTGTCACGGAGAGCAAACTAGACCAAGTCACAGGTCAGCTCTGTGGAGAGGCGACCCCGCTCACAGTCAGAATGCCTGTTTTTTTTTTTTACCTGTACTGAATACGTAAATAAGTAAGAGTTGTTTAAAGTCATACTGTGTAACATTCCAGACAGAGCAGTGACATATCCATACAAACAAGCAGGATGGACCCCAACCAAAAAGTTCCATAGTGCGTTTTTAAACATTTGTGTACGTACATCTCTAATGATCTTGACGAGGCTGTCCGCAGTGTGTCCGGTGTAACTGACGCTCTCCACGGCCGGGAGCAGATACGGAGGAGAGTTACACAAAAGCACGCAAACTTTGTGAGTCTGACCTCTGGAAAACACAACACAGCAATGAGAAAAACATGTCATAGCATATTTTATTTTAGCCTCTGTATGAAAAAATTGGAATTCGCTGTTAGATGGTTTCAGATATTGTTCATTTTAAAATATTTTCAGATCGAAAGTGGAGAACTCACATCTGCTCTCTCATCTTCTTAAAGTCGTCAAACAGCTGCAGAGCGACAGACAGGCCCTCTGCGATCAGACTGCAGCTCTCTGCTCCTCCTCCCATGAACCTGAGGAACACATTTAACATTAAGAGTCAAAAATGGGATAAACAGATACTAACTGATACTAAAACTTGTATAGCATCAATACTAAAATATGAACAAAACTTGAGATTTCCTGAGTAGTACAGAATCTCACAACTAACCATAAGGAGGGTTTGAATAGGGCCTGAGAGATCGCTAAATGAGTCAAAACTGCATGGATGACATCTAAAACCTCTTCGGGGACGTTTTTAATGAGGGAACAACGTTATAACATGGCAGAAAGCTCCAAAAAGTTGATTTTGCATACCTCTTTAAGCAACTACAACTTTGTGTTTTATGTTGTCCTATTCATCATCTCTAAAACCTTCATTTATCAAATATATTTTAACTATTAATTTTCATCAAGGGGGCCAAAGCGATTACATATAAGCGGGATGAGAGCCAAACCTATAAATGTTTTAGATCTAAAAAGTTTGTCTGCTAAAATATTTGCATGAAATGGTGCTTTCTACGAGGACAGACTGCAGTGGGTTCTTATTTATCTCCTGATCGTCTCTAGAGAGAAAACTCAGATAAAAATAGAAACTTCTACAAATCTCAGAACCCACTTTAGCTCCCCTGGTTTAAAGTAATAAATAACGTTAAAATGCCGTTTAAGTTTCTTCTTCTTGTGTACCATAGCTAAAATAACCATCCACAGCTTGAAAAGATTGTCCAAGGCTCATTATAAATAGAAAAGTTCTTCATTAGAAAAAGTGAACCGCTCTAGATGATACACAAAAAGAGGCTTTGACACTATATGTCTGTGAAAAGCCCCATAAAAATATTACCGTATTTTTATGACTATAAGTCGCACTTTTTTGCATGGTTTGGGTGGTCCTGCGACTTATACTCCGGTGGGACTTATATATTCAAACTTTCACACTGACAGAGGCTCTAGGCTCTAGGCTTGTGTTTCAGTATCTGCTAATCCTATTACTCCTGTACCACTGTCACTTTGCACTCCACTGGCGGAAAGCGGGGCTGGAGAACACAGCTTCACAGGAAAAGGGCAGGTGTGCCATGCAACTTTCCTGGAAGTCACTGGCTGAATTGACAAAGCTGAACCATAACCATCCTGTCAGGATTCAGAAAGGTCGGAATAATTCTAACTGGAATTGATGCCGAGTCTGATGACAGCTACACAGAAGAGGAAGCGACGCTCTGTTTACCTCTTGGATCTATGGTTTATCTCCAGAGGTCATGCAGGAAGTGACAACGATGATGAAGAATTCAATGGATTTAGTGATTTGGAGTGAGACTGTGAGTTTGTTAAACTTATGTTCTGTTGTTTATGCTATAATTACCTGGATAGCTGTTAATACGTTACGTTAACATATTAACGCCTATTCAGCCTGTTGTTTTCTATTCTATTGTTATTACTATAACTTGTCTTTCAAGATGAAATATCGGTTCCTGGTCTCTGATTTTATAAAATACATTTCCCAAAAAGTGCGACTTATAGTCCGGTGCGACTTATACTCCAGAAAATACGGTACATACTTACACACAGAGTCTGGGGAGTAAAACTGGGACCAAAAACACAATTTGGCCAAAAAAAAGACTTACTGGATGCTCTTGATCCATGAGACAAACTCGAAGGCGGAGCTGGTCGGAGCGTGACACTGGACGTAAGACTCTGGAGCACAGTCCACGGTGTTGAAGACCACCAGGCCATACTGTGTCCCACCGTACTGCAGCAGAACAAAGTAGACAAGTCAATATCACCTTCTACACTAAAACAAGTTAATATGAGAAATAAAGAGTCTCACAAACAGACTAAGCAAATCAGGATCTGCAATACTGCTACTAGCATGACTATAAAATCTATAAATCCTTTAAATATCCACTTACATCTCCACCAAAATCTGTTTCTGCAGGAGGCCCACCATTGAAATACCTGCAGAAAGTAAACGAGACTTAAATGTACAAAGAAAACATCAAGACAATATTATGCCATGTAAGAGTAATTACTTGTGTTTTTATTATAGCACTATGTAACTTTTCACCTGCTTGTTTCCATGGAGATACTAATACTTTGCCTGGAGCGTTCCATAGTATGGCATTAAACTTCTGTGTTGCATGCTTTTATTCAAATAGAGGTGTTTTTATGCATTCTTACTGTGAATGGGGTAGCCTTTCCATAGACCTGACCTGTAACTTAACCTGATGGAGTCACTTTTTGTCTTTATTACGGCTGGGTATCATTAAGAAGTTGCAAATACAAGACATACCTTGATACACAGGCCACGATATGATACGTTTTTTGATACAGTGCACTTCTGATTCAATACAATTTGATACGATATATTTCAAATCGATTCGATACAGAAACCACAAAGTCTGTGCAAAGTAAATATGAAAAGCACCCATTTTACTCAAAACTGTGAAAATGTCAACACTACTGCAGCTCTTATGCAAAATAATTTAGTAAAATATACCTAAAACACTCTTGGCGATATATCGATACAGCAGCCCATGATATTGATACTGTATCATTGCATCAAACGATACGATATACTGATTTTTTCAATATTTTTGCACACATCTAGTCTCCATGGTGACAAATACTGTAGGTTAAATGCCATACTGTTGTTGTTGAATCTTACAGGTAAATCAAAAGCCTCTCCATGGAGACAAGCAGGTGACGGACCCATAAAATTTAAAGGTGCACTGTGTAACTTTTTGATTGAGGTTCCATCTTCCGTCACCTTTTCTGTATCTGTAGGGATGTCATCCCACTGCCTGGGATGTTCCACAGTATGACATTAAACAGCTCTACCTTACATTTATTAGCTACAGGTGGTTTTATAGCTCAAAAATACCTAGAAAAACAGACATTCTAATGTAAGCGAGGTAGACTTTATACAGGCCTGACCTGTACCTTGGTCTGTTTTGGTCTCCATGAAGACTAGGGCTGTGCAAAAATATCAAAATATCAATATATCGTATTGTTTATTGTGATGATACAGTATTGATATCGCCAAGAGTGTTTTTTGGTATATTTTACTAAATTATTTTGTTACAACGCTACAGTTTTGCTGCTTCTTTAGTGGAAGAAAACTCATTTATGCAAGACATTTGACATTTTCACTGTTTTGATGATTAAAATGTGTGTTTCATATTCTCATTGCACAAGAAGTGGTTTAACAAAGACTTTTAGTTTCACAGTCATGATTTAGCCTTTATTTTTATTGAACCATATCAAATCAATTTAAAATGTATCGTATCAAATTGAAAGCTCACCATATTGAGATAGGGATTGTATCGTGGCCTATGTATTGAGGTATGTATCGTATCAGCAACTTCTTAATGATACCCAGCCCTAATGAAGACAGAAAGGTTTAATACCATACTGTGAAACATTCCAGACAAAGCAATAACATCTCCATGGAGAAAAGCATTTGATGAACCCTCTATGAATAAAGTAACACAATGCACTTTTAACATACTAGTATAATTCACCTTTAAACTGTTGCTACGTGTTATATTTGATGTTTTATCTGTCTAAAATTGTATAATGCAGTAGCACAGTTCTTACTCGATGGCGGGGAGGATGTAGTTCTTCATGAGCGACTCGAAGTACGGCCCGAGATTCGCTGTTCCCTCAATCACAAACACGACATCAGCGACCTGACTAGACCCGGGCTTCACCGCCGGCTCCATGGCACCGGCCACCATCGCCCTGAAGAGGAGGGGAGGGAGAGGTAAGTAGGCCTGTCCTGAATGAACACATTTTGAAGCATGATATATTGCTACAGAGAAATGCTACTTTATGCCACTGACACAATAAAAAATAAAGCAGGATAATCCCAGTAAACCATTTTTAAAAATACAGTATCATTAAAAAAGCAACAACAAATAATTAGTCCTGTGAGTTATTTTTTTCATCCCTCTGCAGCTCAAAACATACAGTATTACAGAAAAAAATACAGAAAAAACTAAAATATACACATTAAATATTGAGCCTCAAAATATATTGTTCCAGCTTTCAGGTTTTTGAAGTCGATATAGTAATTATGAACCCACAATTAAAATTTTAGTGAAATTGGCCAAAGTTTGTGCGATTTGGCGATTTTACCATTTTACCATAATCCTAACCCATTGGAATAACATGGAGAGTTTATATCATCACTATGGTGACAGCGTAAAAAAAATATGACATGGGATGCCAAAACTTAGCAAAATTTCAGAAATGTTTGAAAAACAAGATTTTTCTCTCGCATATTAAATTTTGTTTCAATCTATAGGGGGCGCTAATGTGCCAAATTTATATTTTTCACATTAAGTAACTGTAGGGCAGAGAGTTTAAGAGCAGAAAGCTAACTGTTTCAAATTTCATTGAAATCTGAGTTTGTTTGAGCAAATGGGAGCAATTTGTAAAATTGTTTTGTACCTATGAATCTCTGCATTGGTTTTAAAGTCAAATGTGAAATGTTCAGGGATCGTAGTCGTATTATAAATAATTTTACAGATAAAAATACTAATTTGATGAATATTCCTATCATAAATATTAAGAATGTTAAGATTGATGAATAAATGAGCAGACGAAGTTAGAGGCAAGGAATAAGTTGCAATCTGAACAAAACGTTTTGACACAAATATTTTGTTCAGAGTAGATGAGAAAGTGCTTTACAATATGGCAGATAAGGATAAATTAAACTATAGTTTATATAAATATAGCTTTTTGAGTTGCTGTATATGACCAGATGGGATTGTTCTTAACATGATCTGATTAAAAACCGCGACAGAGAACACTTACAGTGTCTGTTTTGATTGATTTTTACACATATTTAAATGGATGGTACTGCACAGTGCTAGTGCTGCTAATATGCTGTTACACGAACGACATCTAATCTACAGCCCAAACACAACTTTGTCAAAAACTAGATCAAACCTGCCTCTGAACACACCGTATTCAAAGAAGTTTATCTACATTTAACAAAAATACGTGCTTCTAATTCCTGTAGTGTCTCCTTAAGTGAACGTCAAACAGCTAACACATGCTAGCTGCTCTGCTTTAAACATTCACCTGAACCATAATCCTGTGTGATATAAAAAGACAGAACTCACCCGATAGTCCTCGGCCCGCTCCCGAATAAAAAATGTTTATTCAAATTTAATTAAAATGAACGATTTTAGCTCCAAAAACGCAGATGGTCAGAGCATCATAAGCTAACATTTGTTTTATTATTACGGAAGTGACGTCTAATGATCCTCTTCCGGTCGCTGTTGCGTTTAAAACTTTTAATCCATTAGTATAGTCGCTTTTATAATACTTCTGTTCTTCGGTTTACTTTGAACTTTGATGCGAAAAAACAAAAACTTCATAAACTTCATAATTACTCTTAAAAATAATAATAATAATAATCAATCATCATTGGAGGTCAAATCTAGAACTAAAGCAAACGATCAGAGTAAAAATGGAGAATATCTCATCTGTAACTATTTTAATGTAACTCACGCATAAAACAATAATAGTCATAGTCCTGCACTGTAACGTAACAGATTATGACATTTTACGGGTATTTTTTATTTTTTTTTTTTGCACATATATAAGATATTGTAACACTAGATGATATAAAAAAAAAAAAAAAAAAAGTAGTTGCCAGATGAGGCAAAACCCCCAAAAAGTGCTTATATTAAAGCTTCAACCTAGATTAAACCTAGATTAAAATTGAACATTATAGCTCTGCATTACTAAAAAAATATATATTAACACACCTTAGACTAAATACATTTGATTCATGGATTAAAATACAATGAAACATCCCGCTGTTGAATGATTATAAAACATTATTATGAAATATCAAACATTTACTCAAACTCTTTTTAAACATTTTTGATTTGCCATCACTAACCAGATGTGAAAACTGTTATTCTGTTTTCTATTTTATTTTGTTAGACAAACTTTACTAAGCCACAAAGAAAATTATTAGAACACACAACTTCACACATTAGAATTTAATAAGATGCAAATGGTAAATGGCAATAAAAACTATGTACACAAAAAAATAGGATAGTAAATATAATATATATCTATATAAGGCAAGTGCACTTATACTTTAAGTATAACTGCACTTATAAATAATGGCATACATAATGAAGTAAGTTATACTTACTTCATTATGTATGTGAATAATATTTGTATATGTTTTTATTATTATGGCCTCTTGTTATATATTTGCAGTTTGCACCAAAGCAGTTTTAAAACTTTGTTCGCTGACAATGGAAAGACAGTAAATTAAAAGAAAGATGCATTAAAATATACAATATAAACACTAAAATAAAAATTACACTACCAATCAAAAGATTGGACACCCTCTCTTTCACAGGCAAGATATTTGGAATTATGTGAAGGAAAAAAAGGTTAAATATATTTGTACATTATATTAAAATCCTCAAAATAGCCACTCTTTGCTTTGTTGACAGAGCTGCAAACCCATGGCCTTCTTTTACTGAGCTTCCTGATGAAGTCCCTGAAATGGTTTTCACTTCACAGCTCTACCATGTCAGGGTCAAGAAATGCCAAATGTGCAAACCAGGGTTCAAAGTAAAGGGTGGGTAATTAATTTATTTATTCTAATTTAAAACAAGTTGAGATATTTTGAGATTATTTTTGGTTTACTATATTCCGTATGTGTCATTCACAGTTTTGATGCTTTCAGTGAGAATCTACAGTGTAAGTAATCATGGAAATAAAGAAGACAAATGAATGTAAATGTGTGTCCAAACTTTTGACTGGGTGTGTATTTTAAAAGAGAAGGGTTCAGAACAACATCATTTCAGTATGTAAAGCATAATAGAACCATTTAATAATAAATAAATAATAATAAATCTTTATTCATAAAGCACTTTTAAAAACAAAGTTTACAAAATGTTGTATAAGCCACAAAGAACACTACAAAAGACATAACAATAGCATACAGAAGGCATCCAGAAACAGACAATGATGCAAACAATTCAATTATAATACATTTTAAAAACAGAAGAAAAATAAATAGGGATTACATTCTAACTAAAAGCAGTTAAAGGAAGGCCAGCCAATAAAACAAATTGTTTTAAGAAGTGATTTAAAAGATGATACTGATTATTTCCTCAGACTCGGTCTCCCTTCGTCTGGAGCCTTTTTTTTTGGACTTCGGAACAGCCACAGGGACCTGCCTGAGGATCTAAGGCTGCGGGAAAAGTTCTGAAATGTAACTCGGTGCCAGACCTAAACAAGCTTAAAAGTGATCAATAAAATCTTAAAATTTGACCATGTGGTGCTTATAGATTTGAACATGGTCAGAGCAGAGGCCTGTCTCACATCTTCATGAAGATAATATATAAGATATTTTCTACAAATGAGTAAAGAATGGCGCCTGATGCTTCAAGAAGTTGCTTTATAAATGTAGAGCTTTGTAAATCTCCTATAGGCTTACTAGATTTTAAAATTCTTTTGTGTTTCGAAGTGTAGTTGCACACATGTCCAGCAGAGGTCAGCAGAGATCCACAGTAGTTTTCCTGTGACAGCGTTAAAGACGTGACAAGATCCAGATGGTCCATAAGTGATGTTTTGAATGAATTTAAATTAACAGTTACATAAAGATCAAACCAGAAGGGTCTTTTGAAGGAAACATGAACCTCAATCAAGAGTACGATTTTTTTTATTCAGAAAAAGATAACATTTTGTGATAGTCTAAATTAATTATATATACAGTATCCATAAACAGCAAGGTAATCATCAAACTGTTTTATTTGAGAGAAGAAAACTTAAATGTCCCTGCAGGAAAATAAAAAGATCCATTAGTGCAACCAGCTAGAAACAAAACTTTATAATAACTACAACTAATCAGCCTTAATAAAGCATGACCTAACACTTAATTAAAGAGGGAGTATTACACTTCAATTGGGTATTAACTTCTAATGCATCACATATTAAAAAACAACATATTCACATTGTTTTAGGCTTCACTTTTGTTTGCCACACTTTGAGTTTCCCTTTCCTTTGCTCCCCGCCCTAAATCACTCCCCCTTCAGAGCGCTATCACTACACAATTAAGTTGTTGTGTAGAATTTTGTATCATGTTGTCGTATATTTATGGAGAATAGGAGGGTTTCAGTCACGTGATCACGATGATGCGCGAATTTCAGGTGGAGGGCAGGAAGTGAAGACAAACACGGCTCTGGAGAACACAGATATGGAGAAGAGTTCTTATTGTAAGGATTTAGAGCTAGTAGTAAGGCAAAAGTACGAGCAGTTAGTCAACAAATATATTGGGCGTGACCCTGATCTTATTGAAAATGAGAGAATTTTCAACCGAAGTAAAAGATTTGCCAACAATCGAGGCAGAGGAGATCACGAATTACCTAGTTCTCCAGACATCGTTCTACACCAGACAACTGTCTATAGACTGTTATGGGAAAAACTGCAGTGTATCGGCAGTAACCTCTATATGAACTATTTAATGTCAACAAACATCGTTAGCCATTAGTGATTCGTTTATGTTTAGGTAAACCACAAAAAACAATTTAGCTTTGTAACAAACCTTTGACGAAGTGGTCACTGCAGACACGAGCATTAGCGAATTCTGCTCCTCCCGACCGCAAACAGGTTTGTAATCCACTTTTTACGGCGTTGTTGTGTCAGCTTTTCCCATTTCTGACGTTTGTGGACGACTGTATTCAGTACTCTTAAAAAATCGCTTTTCCTTCTCTCGGTTAGAACAATTGGCACAGCCGTAAACTACACAACACATCGGCATTTTCCTCCAGTCAGTTCACTTCCTGCCCTCCAACTGATTTTGTGTGCTGACAAACGTCGCCCTGTGACTTCACGTGAAACCCAGATATTGTCATGTGGGAGCATGCGTGACGTAGGCTTGTGGGCGGAGCCTTGCACAGAATCTTACAGCTATGGAGGGTTTGAATAGGGCCCAGGAGAGATCACTAGATTACTTATACGTATGAAACCACTTCTGGCATGTTTTTGATGAGGGAGTAACGTTATAACACGATAGAAAGCTGAAATCCATTTGGCATAATACCCCCTCTTTAACAAATAGTTTAATGAGGACGATTCAGGCTTTGTTACTTAATTCTTACTCTAACAAACCCCAAACCCCACACCCCGTAATTAATTAGCTGTTAAGCCTGAATTACTCCTAACGATTTAATGAGGATAATTAAAAAGTAATTATTATAAAGTGTAAAAACAGCTCTGTGACCTTTTTCAATAACAAAGACAACTCTATGGCCATGTACGCTAGAAGAAATATGACAATCCCTTTATAAGCTTTCAAACTATTTCATAATTAGAAATACGCCTGTAGATCCATTTTGAACAGTGTCCGATTTCCATTTTGAGTTTTAATAATATCCCTCTCTCTTCACATCTGCCTCCGTCCTGCGAGTGCTACAAACATATGCTAATTAGCGTAGCATTGGCGCTATCACCATGCTAACAGAGTGTCAGGGGCAGCCCACACGCGCGCGGCCCCGTCAGCCCTCTCCGCGTGAGGGGGAAGAGCCAACAATAGCCCCCCTCCCCTGTGGCTCCTCCAGCTCCTGCCTGCTCTGCTTCACTCTGCAGGCTCACACCAAAACCACACACACACACACACTTTCATTTCACACAAGTACAGGAGATTTCTGTTATTAAAGGTGCATTGTGTTTTGCCTATTGTGGTAGTCAAGACCGCACTAATCGAGACCAAGAACAGTCCAAGACCACAGAGTCCTGAGACCGAGACAAAACCAAGACTTTTAAAGGTCGAGACTGAGACAAACCTGAGACCACGGCCCATCGAGATCAAATCAAGACCGTCTTTGTCATTTTCTACATTTATTTGTATTTTACAGTTATTTTTGTACAAATATGGGTCTGGTCAAGCAGTAATGGAGGGAAACAGGGGCAGATTTTTGACATTCAAATGTCTCTTATTCAGAAACTAGAGGGACTATTGAAATAAGTAAAGTATCAGAATGTAGGAAAGAGTTACACTCCAACAGGGTCAAGTTAAACCTGTGATATTCTTTCAAATTGTTGACAAAAAAATTTAAAAAACTCATGTCGGTAACGGAGGGAATGAAATATGCAGCACTTTTTGGGCAATAAATCCAAACAGTGATAACTCTTGGTTCTCACTTACATATCCTTAACAAACTGGTTTGAATATTTGCTTCATATAGTTTTCTACCATATGGTACAAGATTAGGTT